TCAAAAGGTTTATCACTTCTCTTACAGATATTGATTGATTAAGTCAGGCAAGCTTTTTGAAAAGCTGTTACTTGTGCACCTCTGAAAAATCTAAACAATTGCAGGAAAAATGTATTATACCGGTATATCAAAACAGTACCGTCTGTACCGACAAAACAAAGCAATTTTTTGTGAAAATATTTTCCAGATAGAATACTTTTACCGGTAATAATCAAGGTAAATACATGGTTGTCACTTGGTTTTTGTACATTGAGTTTTGACATGCTAAAACCAGTATTTGAGCAGTGATCATTATGATTGATTTCTGAGTTAAAATTAAATACATGTGCTATACTTTTTAGCTATTAATTTTTATATAGAACTTTTGTATCAGCCTTGCTACAGCGAACAAAAGAGAGAGTGAGAGAGAGAGAGAGAGAGAGAGAGAGAGAGAGAGAGAGAAAGGAGCCCTTACTAGATTCCTTATAACCGAGTTGTAGCCCTACTACTTGTCCGCCTGAAATTGAGACCAAAAATTTCGCCTGTAGTGTTGATTGTACTGTCTTTTTGGGTGGCAAAAATAGTTCGGTCCAATGATCCTCGTGCAGATATCTACTTCAAGCTAGTTTATAGTTAATTGATGTCTAAGAAAGATTATAAAATCGAACTTTTAGGAATTAGGGGGAGAGGGTGTCCAGAACCGAGCGCAAATTTTTGTGCGCAATTAATATGCATTCGTGTATTTTTTTCTATGGGTGGTACTGTAACTCTCTGGTCGACTTAGCTGCAGATCTGTAGCGTTATGGCTTTATGTATTTGTCTTTGACCATAACGCTACAGATCCGTTACTGCAAAAAAATGTGCAATTTATGGCGCAATATTTTTTTGCGCACTGTTTGGGTGAATTTCTCAAATTTTCAACATTGTTAATTATCTAACCTTCCCTACATAATGCTGGACACATTTTTCAAAAAATCTGTAAATTTTATATACATCCCAACCCTTTTATGGTGGTTTCTACAAGCAATAAACTCGCTTGAATTAGAATTTTTGCAATCCCCCAGAGAATTCAAATCAAGTCAGTAGAGGCGACTATAAAGTGTTGAGAGGAGGATAAAATAAAAATATACAAATTGGTTTAAGAATGTGTCTGGAATGGGGTGAAAGATTGGTGATTTATCAAAGTTGGAAAGATGAGAAATTCTTCCAAACAGTGCGGAAAAAAATCTTGCGCCGTAAATTGCACATTTTTTGCATTACAGGATCTGTATATAGCGTTATGCCATGGTCAAATACAAATCTAGAAAACCATAACGCTATAGATCTGCAGCTATGGTAGACTATTTTAATTTTGTGGGTTTTTTTATCAGCAAGCTACAGTTCTGCAGCTAGATACCTAGGTGATAGATATTTTTATGTATCTCTTTTAGACGAACAACTCGCCAAGATGTTAGATTTTGGTTTTGAAGAAAGAAAAAAAAACACCATTGGTAATATGTATTTTTGTGGCGATAATAAAGTTTATTCTAAAGATATACTCGTACATATTTCCTGAATTTAGGAATGATTAAACCCCAGTACCGCTCCAGATGAATCTTCAGGAATCGTGTGTACAAAATATTGTCTTATCAAGAATGACTGGTTTGGCTGACAACAGGTGAAGACACCATACAAAATCACTTCCAAGCCATTTCTCTTTAGGAAGTCAATGGATCTGTAGTCAGCATGCATATAATAAAACTTGTAACAATTCAATTCTACTTGACTTTTTGCGTCCATATGAGTAGTCGCTTCCCGTAATCTTTCTGAATGTGATCTCCGGGTGATCCATTCTATGTGTGATTTTCTGGTCAAATACGCCTTATTTTTTCGGCAACCCATCCTGGGGGTACATAAGATATGAACACAATTGACAAATCGTTATGATTTTCCGGGTTGTAATAATTGGTATTATCATATTAATAAAATTAATGAATCATATTACGAGATGTAAATTGAAAAGTTGTTTAACTACTAAAAAAATACAGTTTTGAATATGCTATAATTGCAAATGCAACCACAATAACTGTTAACAACATGTTTCATATTATGCAGTGTAGTTGCAGATCTGTAGCTCTCTGCTTGAGAAGATTTCGGATCGAGAGATAGAGCAGAGAGTTACAGATCCATGCATTGTAAAAACCGTCGATTGACGCCGCCGATTTTTTTGTCGCTCACTCGATGTATAAATTCTCATCCTAGGCATCATCATGTGACTAAGATCAACTACAGTACTTTTTTAAATGCTAATATTTGTTCGGGGACGGTCTTTGCATTTCTTTTATGGATATATTCAACTAGTAAGCACTTAAACTTGTAACGGTCCCGGTGATGGTACGGGAGCTAGGCCCCCCGCAAGGTGACAGTCTTTTATAAATAAGAGACGTTTTCCCTTGATTACAATAATGGAATATAAGTAGTTGAGCACCCTCCACTACTATAAGTTATACATACGTAAATTCACATGCCCAAAAATTAAAATATGACAAAAATATTGGGTAAAAAGGATTTGTTTATGTTTATAAAAAGAAATGCAACAATAGTATTCTGCAACACAATAGTAAATTCTCCTATTTCGTTTCCGGAAGTCGTGCCAAGGCTTCCTGAAAACGACACAAGTTCCATTGCTCTAGCTGGAAAACCTAATAAAAAGGCGAAGGAATATTTCTTTCGCTCAGATTTCGAGATTGATGATCATATTGCAGTCAAATCGTGGAAATCAAGCTGAAATTGCTGTGTATGGCATGCAGTCTTGCACATGCAAGCTATATAATTGAATGGCTGAGAAGGGGGGGGGGGGTACAGTAATGTGCTACTTTCTAAAATTGAAAGATTATCATTATTTTAACATTGTTATTAAATCTCTTATGTTTTTAAATCAAGTTTAACCTTATTGTTTTCATCAGTTTAAGAAATGCATTATCATAGTTAAAGGTTCAAATATCTGTAGTTTACTTTTTGTTCCGTTTCTTTTGCGTTCCGGCCGGTATAAATTGATATTCTTCCTCCAGGCACGTAGCATCGTTTTTGAAAGTGGGGGGCCAACCTGAGAAAAATTTTTTTACTTACCTAAAAAAAAGTTGACAAGCAAAAAAAAAAAAAAAAAAAAATTAAATTTCCCCAAAAACGAAAATACTATTTCGTGGGGGGGGGGGGGGGTGTAGTGGCCAACTTTTTCCTATATTTCCTTGCTATGTATATACTGCGGTAACAAGTGGGGGGCCAACCACCTTTTCAATAGACATTTTCTATAGTAAAGGTAATGTTGGGAGAAAAAGTGGGGGGGGGGGGGGGGGGGGGGGGGCCCCCCCCCCCCCCCCCCTCGGATACTACTTGCTTGTCTTCAAAGAAAAAAATAAAATGGCCTAAATTATCTTAATAATTCAAAGCATTACACGTCACACTTTCTTTTCAGGAAGGAGGACTGTCCAATTATAAAAGATGAACTACTTTTTTGGGGGGTATTTATTTTTTGGAATAAAAAGTATCATTAGAATATATTTACATCCACTGAATAGTTCCTCCTATACTTCTAAAGAAAACCCATTATGTTAATCAGAGCATGAACTACACTAGGCATGTAACCTGTACAGATTTCTTGATCAGTGGCTGTTCCATCAATGAAACATACAAAGACGTTCGCATCGTTAATATATAATTAATCATAACAATCCTAATTTAAATTATTATTTTAACAGATATAAATATAAACAATAAAATGTCTTCCTTTCAAATTGGTTGTTATTTACAAAATTTACATAACCGCTATTTTTTCTGCATCATCTGCAGCATTCGCCCCCGAACAGCTTGGAAAACATTTTGTTGTTTAAATGACCACAGACACGGAATCTTTTGGGGAATTTGTGATTCGGAGACCTACAGTACTGCAGTTATCTGGTTGTAGTAAACGTGTATTTTTTCTTTTCGTAAGCGTTGATATGCCCCCCCCCCCCCCCCACACACACACACACCACATGATTTATTTCAAAGTCGGCAAAAATTAAAAATTAAATAATACAAAATTGATAAAAAAAAATATTTCTGTCAATACGGAGGTAGGGGTAAATTGCCACGCAGTATTTATGAGAAAAAAAAGAATATTGTCTCATCCCCTCCTTTTATTAAAATATTATAATTATGAATGATGAATAAATTGGATCTAAATCAAAATAAAGATACAAGAAATACTTTCAACACCTTAATTATTAGCTTTTATTATGTTCTTGTACATCTATAGACATACTGCATTTCATTTTTTGATATTCTGTCCCCGAGTGATAGGCCTACGTCACAATAGATCGAAAACTTGAGATGTGCACACTAAAACTGCACCTCTTAGCGGAGATGAAACAAGTGCGCGGATCCTGGATCTTGCAATTTTTAAAGCCTGTTTTTTGTACTAAACACTTCACTTTCATTTCCTCTTGTGATATTTGGTTGTCCAAGTAAAGGAAAACGTTCAGTAAAAAAATAATGTTTAAATTATGTACCTTAGTGACAGAATACCTTATATTACGTACAATGCCTATACGCCATTTTGATGCAGAGAGAAAGTTCGGGAAAACAGGGTACCTGTGACGTCGTACTTCGAAATATGACGTCGAACAGGAGTTGTTTGCAGTGCATTGGCAGTGTTGACATCGCAGCGTTTCACTGGCTATTTGTTGGATTTAATCGTTATTACGACTATATGTCTTCAGTTATCGTGATGAATATGCATTGGTATGTACTTTCGTTCTCTTGCTCCGTGATTTATTTTCTTCGGGAGATCGGCATGTGCACATGGTGTAGGGACCCGGGTCTAGCCTTCATTCATGGATACTTGGAATGAAATACTTAGGATTTAAGCGCATCGTGACAGTAAATAACACTTCTACGGTGTTAATTACCGTTTATTACGTACATTGCGTGGACTGATTAACAATGCAGACCGAATACACATATTGGATATGGATTTACTACAGGAGTTTTAACTAACGCAAATGGCGCATGCCCAAAGGGGTTAGTCGACACACGGCGGCGACTAACCCCTTTGAGCATGCGCCAACTAACCCAGTAAAAAATTCATCTAACCCCTGCCAGTACATGCAACCTTGTTCACACCAATAAATAAACAAACAAACAAACACAGCAAAAAATAAACAAACAAATAACAAACAAATAAACAGATAAGAAATAATTAACAGAAAATAGAATAACTTATGTAATGAGTTTATAAACAAAATCTTTACCCAAAATACTCACAAAATATGCAGAGATCTAAGGCAACATTTTTGTCTACTGAGCTACAAATACATGTAAGGAGACTTAGTAGCTTATTTTTTTTAATTCTTTAAATTCCGAATGAAATAATTATTCCGAGTTGAAATAATACCCTGTTATTAATTCTTTGAAAATTTTCCTCTATGCTCCTGGGTATTAAATAAACTAACTAAGTACATAGTTATGATGGGCAAGAGTGCCTCTTCCAAAATTGTGAATTTGATGGCCCCATGGTTGGGAGTATTGGTGTGAGGGCAGGGCTCTATTGATTATATAGTAAAATTTGGTTATAGCGAAGTTACTGGGACCTATAAAATTACTTAGCTCTACCTATTATATATTTGATTAAGGAATTTGTTAAATTTATATAGCTGGGGATCCAAGATAACTTATCCGTGAATTCCTTGAATTCGCAATATCTGTGTTTGTACTAAACGAATTTTGCTGTATAGAGAAAATACATTAATTATTTGAAAATCTCCTTCTCTGCTTCTGGGTGTTAAATAAACTAACTAAGTACAAAGCTATGATGAGCAAAATTGCCTCTTCCAAAATTGTGAATTTGATGGCTCCAGGGTCAGGGATTCTGTTGTTAGGGTAGGGCTTTATTGATTATTAATGGAAATACAATAATTCTTCAATGATCTTCTCTGCTCCTGGATATTAGATAAACTAAGTAAGTATATAGTTATATTGAACAAGAATGCCTCAACCAAATTGTGAATTTTATGGCCTCTGTGTCAGGGGTTTTGTCATTTGGTGTAAATGGACAGGGGGGGGGGACTCATTTGGTTAAATAGTTAAAATACACTAATTCTTTGAAAGACTTTTCCTTTGCTCTTGGGTGTTATGCCAATAATATACCGTAAGTACATGTATATATATCTATGATGAAGAAAGGTGCATCTAGAAAAATGGTTAATTTTATGCCCCCTAAGTCAGGGGTATCGATGGGGGGGGGGGGGGGTTACATAGTCTGAAAATAAATTAATGCTTTCAAATCTGCTCTTTGGTATTTATCAGCCATTTATGATGAAATAAAATTTATGATAAAATTTCTAAAATTTTGAAATATGAGGCCCCGGTGTCAGTGGTTCCTGTGGGGTGGGGTGCACAACTGGTTATAAAGTGAAAATGGATTTTCTCTCCATTACTGATCTACCTCTGGATATTAAGTAATTAGAGTATGCATGTTATGTGTATAATTATGATAAGCAATGTTGCCTCTTTCAAAATTGTGAATTTCATGGCCTCTGGTTTAAAATAAGAACCAAATAAAATTGTTGGAAAGTTGTTATTGATACTCAGGTGACTTATACGGCCTTGAAGGCCTCTTGTTTAGAGTTTCATTGGGTTATGACATGAAGTCGGTACGTGATCAAATCTACTACATGTATAATGCCCGAAAATTTGATCACATGACCGACTTCATATCATAAGCCAATGAAACTCTAAAAATGATATCTTATTTCTTGAATAAACATGGATCATACTCATATGATATCTGTGAATATCATTATTTGAGTTCAGTGCTCATAATACATAAGATCTACATTATATTTTTAGTTGCATATTTATTTAATGTAGACTAGAGGTCTATTTGCAGGGACAACAAAGTGAGAAGGCCTTTAAAATGTATTCATTTTTATTTACAGCAAATTCTTCAAGTCAGCAACGCTTTAAACTTAAATTTGATAAAAAAGATCTGCACCAGAGTGTACCTGAATCTCATTCAGAAAATGCAGCTGATGATGGGAAAATGCAGGAAAAGATGGAAACTGATGATGATGAGGGTCATGTGATTCATGCATCGAACAGTGGACAGATATCACGAGATGATACCAACATTAAAACTACCTCATTCTCTCCACCACAAGGTGCCATATCAACTTCAAATTTAGCAGAAGCTACAAAGGAAAACAAAGATATTCTTGGCCCAAATAATCCAGGAATTTCAGGAAATTTGCAGATTGATGCAAAAAACATTCCAGAATACCCGGATAAGAAAATTACAATGACTGACTTTGCAGGACAGTGTTCATATTATGCCTCACACCAGATTTTTCTGAGTCCGCGGGCGTTCTTCATTCTAGTGCTGAATATGGAGAAGAAGTTTGATGATCAAGTCGGGGAAGAGGTCTGCTGTCAGGAAGGCTCCATTTATGAAAGATGGACACACAGAGGTTTGTTACCATTACCTAATGTTGGGTTTGATTGCATAGTTTCTATAGCATATGCAATGCAGTATGTGATTTTTAAAAACTCTACTTATTTCATATACAGATTTAAATCAAGATAGTAAAGTACTCTTTGAAATTCATATTTTTTATGAAACTGCAGTGTAATATATAGTCACCTCTTTATTGGGTGAATTTATATGTATAATGGTTAAAGATAATTGGATGGGCTTGTGTGAGGAAAATGTATCTATCTCCATGTATGTTTGTCTATATGTTTGGAACCATTGTTTTTTTTCAAACAGTTACCATTAAAAATTTTGTTTAAATAAAACTTCAAATACTCTTAAGCTTAATTCAAACATTGGCATCGGAAGCATACCGGTGTTGAAGGGGCTATTTAATTGTGTGTGGAGGGGGGGGGGGGGGGGTTCAACCAACAAAGAAGATAAACCCCACTTTTAAATGCCTTTATATTGTTTATCTTTGTCATAAAAGTGTATGTTTGGGAAAAAGGGGTCGGGGGGGGGGGGGGGGGGGGGTAAGCCCCCCTCCATAGCCTCTCCTTGGTTCCAATGTCAGAGATAATTATTTTGCAGTTTTGTTGATTGAAGTCTTCCTTTTCTTCACAAATTTTCTGAATGTTTGACTTAAAGTAAACTTTGATATATATTACTGAAATCATTTAAACAGTGCCCTACATAGTTTAATTTAAGTCAGGAATGGTGATAAGCAAATTGTTTGTCTTCATTTCATTCACAGATTATCTTGAATTCTGGATGAAATCAATTCACCAGTACAGCAATGATAATGCCCCTGTTCTGCTCATTGGTACACATAGTGAGAAAAAAACAGAAAAGGTATAATTTGTTTCGTCATTTTACAAATATTTTTTTGTGCTACTAGTTAGAGACCAAGTGACCTTGTGTGATAGTAAGATGTTTGTCGACTCCTCAGCTATGTTAAGGACCGATATGGAAAATGTGACATTTGCACCGCTTTAATATGTATTACTTATTTGAAAAATTGTAACAAAACAACTGAATACATGTATAAAATGTAATATAGCTATCAATATTGGATAGGACTGGACTGTAGTTATTAGTTATATCGCACGTATCAGCTGTTTGTCACGTGATTTGTATCAAAATAGAATTGTTAGCTGAATGTAGGAAATGAGGATAGTGCAAGGGCATACGCTTGTTTATCAAGAAAATTTTTTATACACAATAAAAGATGATTATTTCCTCTGCCCCAAAAGTGCTAGGAGCTAGTCAGTGCAGTTTGCGAAGTACTGAAAATTTTGCCGAAAATGACAGGATTTTGAAAGGTCCAAAGGAGATCAAATTAATTAAAGCCATATTCTTCGCATGAAATTCTCAGATCCAAAGATTACAGTTTTTTTCCAAAATGTTCAAGTTAACTGCTAAATAAAATAAGGATAATCCTTGACAACTGTAAAGGGTATTCTAATAACATACCTTAATATTGAGTCCCTTTGTGTACTTCTGTTTATGTTAAATTTCCCAAATCATTCCAAGCATAAAATGGAAAGGTCAGGCTCTTGGTATCAAGGCCTTAAAATCCTTTTATCAAAGTGGTCCTATAAATTGTCAAGAAAATTATAAAATTGATAGATTAATATAATATGTTACATGAATTTGAAATTTTGGCTTGGTGTGGGGTTTTTTTTTTTTGCTTTTTGTTTTGGTTTTTTTAGCTCACCTGAGCTTTTCTGATCAAAATTTGTCCGTTGTCTGTCATTGTTGTCGTTGTTGTCGTCGTCGTAAACTTTTCACATTTTCATCGTCTTCTCAAGAACCACTGGGCCAATTTCAACCAAACTTGCTACAAAGTATCCATGGGTAAAGGGAATTCAAGTTTGTTCAAATGAAGGGCCACGCCCTTTTCCAAGGGGTGATAATTATGAATTAGAGAAAAAATTAATGGCATTTTTAGCTCTTCTGAGCCAAAGGCTCAAAGAGCTAATGCTATGGCCATTTGTGCGGTGTGCGTCATGCGGTGTGCGTTAACTTTTCAGAATATGGGCCATAACTCAAGAAGCCCTCGGCCAATCAGTGTCAAATATGTCACAGGGTATCCTTTACCCAAGGGCTACCATTTATACTAAAATAAGGGTTTGGACTTTAAAACAAGGGGAGATAATCAGGAAAACAAAACCAAAAGTACTGGTTTCCAAATAAATCTTCTTCTCCAGAACCACCAGGCAGATTTTCACCAAACTTACAAATTGTTCAAGGCATGACCCTGGGCAAAGGGCGTGGTCTCAAGGTCACTTCAAAAATGACCGAAATTTACAATTAATGAAAATGTCTACATTTTGCTCACTATAAGGACTAGGATCATCAAATCTTGTAAGTAGATGCATCTTAAGACTTCACATCATGTTAACTCAAAAGTAGGTCACGGTGACCTACTTTTTTAATTTTGTGGGCATTTGTTTTCAAATTGATTTGAAGGCAGATTTTGGACACTTTAAGGCCTATGATCATCAAACTTTGTCAGTTGACGCATCTTGGGTCCTTGAACAACATCAACTTAAAAGAAGGTCACCGTGACCTACTTTTTGAACTTGATAACTTATCCTTTTTAAAACATTTCATCCCATTATTTCAGACACTGAGAGGGTAACAATCATCTAATCTTGTAAGTTGCTGTATCTTCGGACCTTAAAACATATTTAAGTAAAAGTAGGTCACTGTGACCTACTTTTTGAATTTTGCAGGCATTTGTTTTTGAATTGTTTAAAAGGCATATTTTGATTACCTTCAGACCAATGACACCGGTCACGGTAGCCTAGTGGTAGAGCGTTCGCTTCGTGATCGGGAGGCCCGGGTTCGATTCTCGATCGCGGCGCCGCATCATACCTAAGACGTAAACAAAGGTAGTGACTGTTCCTTCGCCAAGCGCTCGGCACTAGAAGTGAAAGTCACGGGTCTTTCGGATATGACCTTAAAAACGTAGGTCCCGTGTCACGGTAGGCGTTGGCACGATAAAGAACCCTCACTGCTCAATGGCCCTGAGTGCCGAGTATAGGTCTAAATTTGAAGCCCTTCACCGGCATCGGTGACGTCTCCATATGAGTGAAAAATTCTCAAGAGGGACGTTAAACAATATACAATCAATCAATCAATCAGACCAATGATCATCAAACTTGATCACCTGATGCATCTTGGGACTCTGAAAAATGGCGACCAAAATGTAGGTCACCGTGACCTACTTTCGACATTTTATGGCTATATTTCAGTATCTTAGGTATTTATTGGCTTAGAATAATCAAACTTTGTGAGTTGATGCATCTTGGGTTTTCGGAGAGTGACGACCAAAAATTAGGTCACGGTGACCTATTTTCAATATTTTATGGCTATATTTATGTATTTCCAGTACTTATTGGCTTAGGATCATCAAAATTTGTCAGTTGATGCCTCTTGGGTTTTCAGAGAATGTCGACCAAAAAGGAGGTCACAGTGACCTACTTTTGAATATCTCACGTATTTATTGGCTTAGAATTATCAAACTTGGTCAGCAGATGCATCCTAAACCTCTGATAAATGTCAACCAAAATGTAGGTCACGATGACCTACTTTTGACATTTAATGGCTATATTTAAGTATCTCCAGTACTTATCGGCTTAGAATCATCAAACTTTGTCAGTTGATGCATCTTGGGTTTTCGGAGAATGCCGACCAAAAAGTAGGTCACGATGACCTACTTTTGACATTTTATGGCTATATTTAAGTATTCTCCGGTACTTATTGGCTTAGAATCATCAAACGTTGTTAGTTTATGCCTCTTGGGTTTTCAGAGAATGTGGAACAAAAAGTAGGTCACGGTGACATTTTTTTTTAATATCTCAGGTATTTATTGGCTTAGAATCATCAAACTTTGTCAGTTGACGCATTTTGGGTTTTCCAAGAATTTAGACCAAAAAGTAGGTAAAGGTGACCTACTTTTGAATATATCAAATACATATTGGCTTAGAATCTTCAATCTTAGTTTTTATATTAATGCATCTTGAGTCCTCAGAAAACTTCAATCTTAAAGTGGGTCACCGTGATCTACTCATGGTTTTTTTCATAGCTTTATTAAAATATCTTCAGTCCTTGGCTAAGAATCATCAAACTTTTTATCAGTTGATGCAACTTAGGTTTTAGGATACTTAGGGTTAGAGGCTTCATATACAAGTGATAGGTTGTACAATTTATCAGAAGAGCGATTCAAGGCCCATGGGCCTCTTCTTAAAAAATCTTCTTCTCAAGAACCACCAGGCTAGGAAAGATGACACTCATGTGGAATCATCTTAAGGTAGTGTAGATTCAATTTTGTTCAAATCATGACCCCCGGGGCAAGGTTGGGGCCGAAATGGCCGACCCAAGTTTTACATAGGGATATATAGGAAAACTCTTTAAAAATCCTCTTATCAAGAACCACTGTGCCAGGAAAGATGAAACTAATTTAAAATTATCTTCAGGTAGTGCAGATTCAAATTTGTTCAAATCATGACCCCTGGGGCTAGAGTGGGGCAAAAATGGCCGACCCAAATTTAAGGAATATATAAGAAAACTTTTTAAAAATCTTCTTCTCAAGAACCACTGGGCCAGGAAAGATGAAGCTCATGTGGAATCATCTTAAGGTAGTGTAGATTTAAATTTGTTCAAATCATGATCCCCGGGGCTAAAGTGGGGCCAAAATGGCCGATCAAAGTTTTACATAGGACTATATAGGAAAACTCTTTAAAAATCTTCTCAAGAACCACTGGGCCAGGAAAGACGAGACTCATTTGGAATCATCCTCAGGTAGTGTAGATTCAAGTTTGTCCAAATCATGATCCACGGGGCAAGGGTGGGGCCAATATGGCTGATCAAAGTTTTACATAGGAATATATAGGATAAATCTTTAAAAAATCATCTTCTCTAGAACCATTGAGAGAGGAAAAATGAAACTCATGTAAAATTATCCTCAGATAGTGTAGATTCAAGTTTGTTTAAATCATGACCCCCGGGGCTAGGGTGGGGCCAAATTGGCTAACCCAAGTTTTACATAGGAATATATAGGAAAACTCCTTATAAGTTTTCTTCTCAAGAACCATTGAGACAGGAAAGATGAAACTCATGTAAAATCATCCTCAGGTAGTGTAGATTCAAGTTTGTTCAAATCATGACCCCCGGTACCAGGGTGGGGCCAAAATTGCCTACCCAAGTTTTACATAGGGATATATAGGGAAACCTTTTAACATCTCCTTTTCAAGTATTCAAAGCCTTGATTAGTGATATTTATGGAATCATCCTCAGGTAGTGTAGATTCTAGTTTGTTCAAATCATGAACCCAGGGGGGGTTAAAATTCAAGCCCCCCCCCCCCCACCTCAGTAAACTTTTAGTTCTGATCTGATATGTGCTTTTTCCTAGCCGATGTGCTCAGTTGAGCTCTGTGGCCCCTGGGCCTCTTGTTTGTGTCTTAAGCAGGTTGGGACCAATCGCCCAAATGGGATATAATTGTCCGTTTGGCATATAATATCCAAAATGGGCAATAAATGTACAGGGCAAAAAATAATATTTTTTATTTTGGCTATAAATATCATAAATTCGCATCAGAACACTTAAAACGGAATAACAAGTTCATTGTTAAGAAGATTCATAAATTCTTTGGGATCAATCTTGCAACTGTAGGGTTGCAGAAAACTTTTCAACCAAAAGTTATTCCGTTTTACGTGTTCTAATGCGGATTAGAATTTTTCATTTTTTGCACTGTAAATATATAGCCCAATTGGAATATCATATCCCATTTAAGCGATTGGTTCCAACCTGTTAAGTACCTATAGTCAATCAACTTAGAACAATATACACTGTATAATAGAAGAAAAAAATAATTAAAGTCATATAAATTCATATTTTCACATTTAAATAATTATTGATTAATTGAATACCTGGTCATAGTTGATAATTTATTGTAATGTACAGAATTCTACGGTTCTACAGATACGTTTGACACTGACACCCCCCCTCCCCTTTTCATGTCAGCATCTGAAAACGACAGGATGTAAAGGATTTAACTAGCAAATATAAATTTCAAAGTTAAAAATACTTTTAAATACAAATTAACCAAGATGAGTAACCTACCTTCTGATGTTGCAGAGATGAACGTCTCCTCGAATGCATGTGGCACACTTCCACAGGTGTCTGAATTCATCGAGGTTTTTGTAGTGAAATACATGATTGAATCTTTGTATGACTGGTACTTAACTTTTCCCCAGATTCTTATCTAAAGGTACTTAACGTTTCTCCAGATTCTTATCTAAAGGGAAGCTAAATTAACAACAGATAAAACATTTTGGAATCCTGGAAAACGTTGATAATTAAGAATTAGTTGAATTGGATCTAGCTATGTGTATGAGATGAGACTTTTGCCCTCTAGGCCTATTATCAACATGAGGTTACAAAACCACTTATACACAGTTGAAATATTTGAATTATCATATATATGTTGAATAGTACGTGTTTTGTGTTGGTTTAAATGGCATATGCATGTTTTTATAAATTGAAAAAAAAAATATTCATTCCAAAACATACACGAAAACTTGTGTGATCTGACAGTGTGTTGTATTTAACAGTATAAAATATATGTCAAAATTCACAGTGTGATTAGAGACTTTTCAATGTATCATTATCATTAATTGTTGTGATTTCTTAATACTTTTTACAAAGTTATTTTCACCTCGTGTTATTTTCGCCCCTTTGAACTTGTGAACAGTTTTGCCCCGTTTTAAATTCGCAATTCATACTTCTGTGTAAAAAAAATATTTTGTGTAATTTTAATTCGCTCCGTCTTAAATTTGCCCATTCAAGTAGGAAGCCAAAGGGGCAAAAATAAAACCGAGGTGAAAATTTCCCTGTATACAGTATTCATATACATGCTAAAAAGAATGATTTATTAGTAAACTTTTATTTCCAGGAGATTATGACTTTTTTCCATGAAATATGGGCTACTCTTGAAATGAAGGACAAGACCTTGTACAAACACCTCCATGAGGATAGGCAGTTTGCAGTTGGATTCCATGACAATGAAAGCATTGAGAACATTAAGCTCTCTATCGTTAAAGTTGTGCAAAATCTAAATCACTGGGGAGAAAAACTTCCACTCTCATGGGTCATGTTTGAAAAATTCTTCCAGGAAAAGAAATCCCAGAGGATAATGAAAAAAGAAATGCTGCTGGCTTTCAATGATGCCTTGCCAACAGGTATAAAGCTCGAAACGGTTGATGACATTAATTTTATGCTGCAGTTTTTCCATGATATCAGAGAAATTTTATACTTCAACCAAGAACTTCTTGATGTTGTAATCATTCTTGATGTGCAGTGGTTTGCAAATTTATTTAAAAATGTAATAACAGATAGAAATCATGCAGAAAAGGATTTATGTAGGTTTGCATCAGACTGGAAAAAATTTGATCAAACTGGAGAATTAAATGACACTTTGCTTACAGCTATCTGGGAAATGAAGGGAATAGCTTTCACTGAGCACAAAACAGATGTCATGCTATACATGGAGAAGCTAGGATTATTAGCAAAATTGGATGACAAAAAATGGTATGTTCCTTGTATGAACAAAATGCCATTTCCTGAAAATCCCTTCACTTCATACTCTGCCTCCTCCATTCTATGCTACGTGTTTGATGTTCTTCCTGCTGGTATTTTCCATCGTCTTGTAGCTACATGCTTGCAAATTCACTGGGAAATTGTTACAGAGAGAGGGAGACTATGTATATACCAGACAGCAGCTGTTTTCTTGTTTAAGGGTCAAAACATATTGCTTGGAATGACTCCCAGGGAAATTCAGTTACAGGTGTTTGTTATTGAAGGGAGAGTTGAGATATCAAAATGCCAGGAAATTAAGGCAGAAATTGACCGTATGCTTAATGTTCTTTCCAGAACTTTCCAGACTGACTTTCGATTTACGTTTGGGTTCAAATGCAAAGCTTCAGGATTCTGTGATAGCCAAGGAAGTTCTGTGATCAACGAATCAGAATTTACAAAGGCAATTTTTCAGTGTCCTTCCTGTCCAATAGGGAGAAAGCACATAATCAACTCAAAGAATATCACGAAATATTGGGTACAGGTACATGTATTTTATTGTAATAGTTGTTCTAAATCATAAAAAAAGAAAAACTGGAAAATCTAGTTACTGTAGAAATTTATGATATTGGATCATAGCTTGACTCTTGTAAATATATGTTCTTCAGTTGGCTACATGGGTAATATCTGTATTTCAGAGACTTCAGTCAATTCAATTAAACATCATAAACTTTTTAGAAAGTGCAGCTTTCAAATCGATTGTAGAATTAGTGTTTCAAATAATGGACATAAAAAATAGTACTGCAATTTTAATTTTCAATAAAGAGGAATTTTTTTTTTTACAAAAAAAAAAAATAATAAAATAAAAGAGAAAGATCTTCATTGATAGTAAATACAAGTTGTTTAAGGTACTCCGATCCTCAGGTTCTGAAATCAAGCATTGACTAATTGAAAATGCTCACAAAAATGTCTCTGAATTTTCAAAGTAACGTGTTTTTCCCACAATAACTCTTCAAAATTCATCTTTCAAGTTAATCATATTATGTAGAGAAAATTAATAAATCTTGAATATAATTTCTGGAATTGCGAATTAAAACACCTGCTATGCATTTTCCAATTCAAATTTGATCATTTAACACATTTTGAAAATATAAATCATAGGTATCCAGGCTTTTGAAGAAATTCCACAATTTTCATACATATAAATAAATGTACTTTAATTTCTCTTATTTACTTCGATCATTTTAAAATTCAAAGTTTATAAAGATTATCCTGTCATTGTAGAGCACCATCAATCACTTCTAATTTCATATTATATTTTAAAACATTGGTATCTATGGTTAGATTGAAATGAACATCAATTTCTTGATATATGTAATTTTAAAATACTTATACATGTACATGGTAAAATTTTCGACTTTTTATTAGACCTTTCTGAGAAATTTAAAGAGCCTTGAAGCACCTCAGGAGGTATATAATGAAAATTGTTGCATGAAAAGTTTAAATTTTTAAGCTTCATTTTGAGACTTTTTTAATTAATTTATAAATTAAAGAGTTGTCCTTCCTGGCTTAGGATCGGAGTTCCTTAAATAAGAAGAAGGTATGCATGGTTTTAGCTTTATTGCGCCCTAAAAATGTAATGACATCAAAAAGTTTTGAAACTGGCTTGAATATTAGTTAAATAAATGACTCTGATAAATCAGGAAAGAATATGGCATGAAGGTTAACCATTCTGCAAATATGACGTCATAAATGTGAAGCATTTCTCTATTTTCAACAGAAAAAGCTTAAAAATGGCACATTTCAAGAGTAATTTTCCTGTAGAAGACAGTGTCCACAGCCGTCGCCCATGTTAATTTTTTGATATTTTGTGCAAAATTCAATAACAAATCATATATCTCAAGATCTTTGTGGGCGATGCCTGTGGACAATGTCATCTGAAAGAAAATTCCATTGAAAATTGGTGTCTTCTGCAACTTTTCAAGAAAATACGGGAAAATGCACATGTTTATGACGTCATAATTAGCATATAAAAACACATGTGTGAAAAATGACTTGTATGATTTTTCTGCATTGAATTTCAATTATTTAAAATGCATGAGTTTTCAGCTTTTACACGAGTTTCATTTTTTAGAAAACCACAGGGCAAAATTTGTATGGAAACCATACCTTCTTCTTTACTAAAATAAAGAAATTGGATGATATCAGAAAAATAATCCACATTGGTTTATAAAGAGCTTTTTAGAGAAATATATAAAATAATTATGCAATTTAGATTTATACTTGTTCAAATCATAATTCCTACATTGAGTAGGGAGGGGAGAGAAAACAATGCCCGTTTGGTTCATTTTGGATTAAATACTAGTAAGAGTTTTAGATATTTTTCTTAAAGTGTGTTCATTTCTTTAGCATTTAATAGATTTGTAAGTATTAGTGTTGGCAACAAGTACCCGGTTAACCGTCGAATGATGCGAGTATCGGTTAATAAAACTGCTATTCGGTTACTCGGATAAAATGCATCTTATTTCGTAAAAATTTAAAATATATATTTTTTTATGAGACTAAACGTAAATATTTCTCTAATTTTATTTACCGTTAGAATTAATGATCTAGTGATTCACTGATATGAACGATTTGTTTCGATTGTTTTTAACAGTTAATTGATAGCTTTGATCGTCAGCAGGTTATACAAGTTTTGAAGACCTGAATTATGATGACCTCATTAAAAAATTTAACAAGGTGCCACCAAAGACATATAAAACTTGGAAGTATTTATAAAGAACTGCTGATTCGATTCCTGTGGAATGTAATTTTGAATTGGAGTCATCGTGTACAGCTGTGACTTCAAAATTCTAAGCAATTATTCTCCTTGATCATTACGTATATCGGGGGTCAAAAATTATCTATTTTTCTTCTTCTGATTTAATTTTTTTTAACTATAATTACATATATATCAAAATTCTTTCTTTTGCATGCGCGTGTATCTTTAATGAAGTTTTTAAGTAAAGATCATTCACAATACATCTGTGTTTTATTATGCCGATGAGCAAAGGATGAGATGAATGATATATGAAAATGAATAAATCATCCGAGTAACCGGGTACTCAAGTATATGTATTTTTGTCAATACAATAGCTGAAAATCTTGAGCAATAATCCAACAGTTGGGCATTTTAATTAATAACTTATTGTTTTCACGTAAACAGTCATTTGTATTGCAAGAAATACATAATTATATAATGTGAGAGTTTATCAAGTGTTTGTTTCATATCGTTTCACTGTTTTGCATTCAGGAAATTTTGTTTGTAGCATTATTAAATCTTATATGATCATTCATAATGAGCACAACAGTTTTAATGTCATTATTTTCATGTTAAAGGTATATCATGATGAAGTTGAGCCCTTGGAAGTTAAAGGTATATCTAAAAGTTCACCGTTAGAGAGTGTTGGACCAAGTGAATCACATCCAAAAGGTACCTCAACTAAATCTGAGATTAAATTCTTTTTCACGTTATCCTCGATTTAATATAACACAGGTTATACAATAATATTTCCATTTCTAATTTTTTTCTCTGTGATAACTCTTTGAAAGTTGTCGGAGTTTATTTCTTGATAATTCTGCCGGAATGTAAATTAGGCAGGTCGATAGGTCAGGAGCTAAGGAGGCCTAATACGCATGCAAATCTCGTGCGCATCTGTCTCTGTGTCCGACGCTAAGGAGGCCAAATATGCATGTAAATCTCGTGCGGCTGCCTTTGTGTTTGCATCAGTGGGCGAGGACTATTGAAATTAGCATGGAAGTCCTCGTGTGATTTAAGTCTATGTCTACATTTTCAAAGTCTAAATCTACAATTTTATTTCACAATGAAATGGAAATATAAGGAATCACTGTCTAGTTTTGAGAGTATGCCAGGGACATCAACAATAGTGGAAAACATGGGATAATTTTAGCATAACGGGCTTCGCCCGTTATGCAAATTATCCCATGTTTCCCACTATTGTTGATGCCCTGGCATACTCTCAAAACTAGACAGTGATTCCTTAAAGTAATATACGCTATAAGGTGCGCCATTTTAAAATACGGCTAGAAATTTATATATTTTGTTTACCAATAAAAGTTACGAAAATGCTGTAAATTACACCATTTAAATAAAATTCGTTATAAAGTTATCAAATTATAATTATTTATTATCCTGCAAGGAGAATAATGTCTATTTTTAAGTAAATCCACCACGTGACGCCGTGGCTACTTTTAGATTGATAAACAAACACGGCGTCAAGTAAACGAGGTAAGCCCTTTGAGATACAACTCACTTTTGACATGGATGGCGTGTTACTATTAATATAACTTATCTTTAAATGTAATCAGTATCAAAAATCTAGACTCTGTTATGACGCATATTAACCTTTTATTAATAATCGTTGTCAAAATGCAACGTACCTCGTTGTCTATAATTTCCCTTGGACATACGTGTCTATATTTAGACCTACTGTTTACGCACTTCCTTTATCAATATTCATGAAAAGACTGAATTCTTGATTGCAGATATTGCTTTATCGTTCTGTTATTACAACTAGTTTTATAGTTAAATTTTGTGGAAATATTATTTTTTCATTACACTTTATGTGTTTCAAATCATTTAATCATTTTGTTTCACATACAAATCGGCATCCATACGGCGTATATTACTTTAATTAACGACTAGTTTTGATGTACATATTAATATTTCCAATCAACGAATATAATTATGTCATGCACGAAGGTATGTATGTAAATTCTCATTAAAAATGACAGACTTACCATTAAATTTGTAAAAAAGGAAACTTATTAATAAGTTTAAACTTTGCACTGCTTTGAAGTGACCTATAGATAAGTCCATTAAAAGTAAATCTCTTGACAGACCCACACCCTTCTTTTATTTCGTGTGTATCCTGTATACAAATTGAAATGCATGTATAAAACAAAATCAACCTCAAACAATTACATACAAAAGTAAGCTTTAAGAACAATCGTTTACTGATTATTGATCAGAAGTTTTTATGAGAGAAAGGTAAATGCTTTTTCTCGTCATAATAGATTAAGTAAATTCCCTTTTATTTATTTTTTTTATTTGACATGTTGGAGAAAGATTGAAATGATTTCTTTTTTCTTTCATTTACTATAATCATACATGGTATTCATATTTACTATAGTGTCATTAATTAACATACTTGGGCTATATTTATATAGATAATTTTGCCAAGATAGTAAAGTTATTGCAAGTTGGAACTGATGCAGTAAGAATCTGCTTCGATAAATTCCTCCCTAAAGAGGATTTAGAGAAGACTCTGAAAGACAATGAAACAGACATGAGAAGAGGACCGTTCCGATTCCAACAACCTCAACTAGAGATTCTCTTCACTCCTCAAGGTACTTATTGGTTTTCTTTCTTTAATGATAAAAATTATGCTTCTTAAAATATTTTTGGCATAATGAAAAATAATGGTCTGTTAAAAGATTTTTGTTATGATTAAAAAAAATTATGTACAATGCACTACATAATGTATCTCCTTTAACAATGAAAAAATTATAAAAAATTTTCTCGAACCCAGAAAATTTTGCCCTAAAAAAGTTATAATTTTACAGTATATAACACATCACTTAGTATAATAACAAGAATCTCTTATTCCATAACAAAGTATTCATTTTAAAATAGTATTGGATAAAAGAATAAACAAAAAAGTAAACAGCAATAAAAGTAATAAATAATTGTGAAAAATCTACCAATAAAATATATTAAGCATTTCTTGGTATCAAACAAGAATGGGAAAGTATAACTCTGCATTAATTTAAGGTTACCGAAGATTGTAGGGACTATATACATAATGACCAAAGTCAAAGTATGATGGAGAAACATATAATTAAATTAATACCATAAATCAGTGGAATATCTACAGACTTCAAGACACTGAATATTTCTATAAACCATGATGACATATGTTAGATCATGACTTCAGGAAATAAAGCAACTGCTACATTTTCATGATTTATGCAGGGAAAAAAAGAATATATTGCCTCGATACTTTGAGTAAAAATTGTGTCCATTTTTGTCTGTTAAAAAGAAATAAAAATGCCAATAACCTAGTCTGGAACTATTACATTTTTAGGTCACCTGAGTAAACTCAGGTGACCTATTGCTATCCGTTTTTGTCCGTCGTCGTCCGTCGTGCGTTGTGCGTCGTGCGTTAACATTTAAACATTTTTAGCTTCTTCTCTGAAACCACTGAACCAATTTCAACCAAATTTGGCATATAGCATTTATGGGTGAAGGGGAACAAAAATTGTGAATTTGGTGGTCCCCGCTCCCATGGGGCCTGGGGGAGGGGGCAAAAACCACTAAAAATAGTGCAATCTTTAAAAATCTTCTTCTTTACTCCCGGACATCAAGCAGTCAAACTGTTGGTATGATTGTAATCAGCATTGAGTCCTCTACCAAAATTGTGAAATTCATGGCCCCAGGGTCAGGGGTTCTGGTGTTAGGGCGGGGCTCTATTGATTATATAGTGAAAATGCATTATTTCTTTGAAAATCTTCTTCTCTGTTCCTGAGTATTAAATAAACTAATTAAGCACATAGTTATGATGAGCAAGAGTGTATCTTCATAAATTGTGAATTTTATGGCCCCAGGGTCAGGGGTTCTGGTGTTAGGGTGGGGCTCTATATTGATTATTTTTTGAAAATGCATTAAATCTTTGAAAATCTTCTTCTCTGCTCCTACGTATTAAATATACTAATTCAGTAAATAATTATGATGAGCAAGAGTGCCTCTACCAAAATTCTGAAATTCATGGCCTCAGGGTCTGGGGTTCTGGTGTTAGGGCGGGGCTCTATTGATTATAGTGAAAATGCATTAAATCTTTGAAAATCTTCTCTGCTCCTAGGTTTTAAATAAACTAACTAAGTACATAGTTATAATGAGCAAGAGTGCCTCTACCAAAATTGTGAATTTTATGGCCCCAGGGGTCAGAGGTTCTGGTGTTAGGGCGGTGCTCTATTGATTATATAGTGAAAATGCATTAAATCTTTGAAAATCTTCTTCTTTGCTCACAGGTTTTAAATAAACTAACAAAGTACATAGGTATTTTGAGCAAGAGTGCCTCTTCCAAAATTGTAAATGCCTAAGCATCTAGCTTAAAACATGAAACAAATTCAATCATCTGAAAGTTGTTGCATGATGCTCAGGTGACCTATAAGGCCCGTGAGCCTCTTGTTGGTTGTGCATGCCATTAACCTAAAAAAAATAATCCACATAAAGACGAAAATTAAATGTCTTTTTAGGTCACCTGAGTAAACTCAGGTGACCCATTGCTATCTGTTTTCGTTCGTCGTGTGTTAACATTTGAACATTTTCAGCTTCTTCTCTGCAACCACTGAACCAATTTCAACCAAATTTAGCACAAAGCGTCTATGGGTAAAGAGGAACAAAAATTGTGAATTTCATGATCCCTGCCCCCCTGGGGCCTGAGAAGTGGGGCCAAAACCACTAAAATTAATGCAATCTTTAAAAATCTTCTTCTTTACTCCTGGACATCAAGCAGTCAAACTGTTTGCATGATTGTAATAAGCAATAAGTCCTCTACCAAAATTGTGAAATTCATGGCCCTGGGGTCAGGGGTTCTAGTGCCAGGGCGGGGCTATATAAGTAGGTAGTGAAAATGCATTATTTCTTTGAAAATCTTCTTCTCTGCTCCTGGGTATCAAATAAACCAACTAAGTACATAGTTATGATGAGCAAGAGTGCCTCTACCGAAATTGTGAATTTTATGGCCCCAGGGTCAGGGGTTCTGGTGTTAGGGCGGGGCTCTATTGATTATATAGTGAAAATACATGAATTCTTTAAAAATCTTTTTCTCTGCTCCTGGGTATTAAATAAACTAACAAAGTACATAGATATGATGAGCAAGAGTGCCTCTACCAAAATTGTGAATTTTATGGCCCCAGGGTCAGGGGTTCTTGTTTTAGGGTGGGGCTCTAATGATTATATACTGTATAGGGGTAAAATAACTCCCTGTGTTAATATTCGCTATATTCACGGTGTTAACAAATCCGTGAATTCAAGAAACAGTGAATAAATTTTCAATAATCTCCATGTTTTATTTGGAAAATTGAGAATAGACTACGATAGATTTATATAGGTGTTCGTGCAGTCCATGGTCATATCAATAATTGCGAGTAGTACTGGCATTCAATTAATTTTAATTATCACGCTTTACTTTAATTCAAATCAGCAGATAATAACCTGTGTTTGTTCAAAAGCTGTTTTAATAGCCAACGCTACATGTTTTATCAATCAAAACAACGTGGACCATGGGTTTTGATTACCCGTGCGTAACTATAAATGTATTTGTTACCTGCATTCTCATGATTGTTAGTTCATCTAGTTTTTATCTACATTTTGGTTTTAAAAAATCATTCAAATAAATATCGAACTTACTGACGAAGGAAGTGTGGAAGGATCATATTATTTAGTAGAACTACATAAAAAGTTTTATTTCCGTCAAGTAGTTATTCGCTGCGTTGTATTGAAGATCTCGGGTACACATGCACTCATCGTAATAGCATATAGGAAAGTCATTTAACGTTTAGAGATTATTAATAGCTGCATTTGTGTTAATTATTTATAAAATTTAACAATTTTATAATAACTTACCCTGTTGTTCGTGAAATAAAGACATAACGCTGATTAATGTTGTTTACATGTAGCTATGGTATGAATTAAATGGAGACAAGGGAAGAAACTTTTATTACATACCAAATTCCACGAATTCAAGAAACCGCGATCGTGTCAGATGAGAGAAAACTGTGAAAATTACAACCCGAGAAATTAATCCCCTATACAGTATAGTGAAATGCCTGAATTCTTTGAACATCTTATCCTTTGCTCCTGGTTAATATGCTAATGATCTAATTACATATTTAAGGCCAGGATTTATTTTATTTTCAGTATTTCAAACCCTCCGCTCAATGTTTTGAATTTTCAGAATAGAATAAAACAATTTTTTTTCTTTCCGATGTAAAATTTGAGTCGGGATCGAGATTTCAAATTTACGAACTTGCACTTCCGGTTTTACGATGAAACGGCGGGTAAATAAACTTTAAAGCTAGATCTGAGAAGATACCTTGGTTTAGTGTAAAATTCATCGATAAGAGTGCCATTCAAAACGTTTCACCCGTTCAAAGGACAAATAAAATGCTGACGACTTTGTTGCACAATGACATGCTGGTGAGATAATTATGTATTCGTTTCAAAAGCTACTAACTGTAAATTATTTTCCTCCCCCAGGTTTTAAACTGCCCGTGGTAGCTATTGCATATTGCCAGGGACATTGTTTAGGTCTCTGTTATAGCTTACAGTCTAAGCATCATTCTTCAGAAAAGGGTTGCTTATGCATCAGATGTAATGAATAAAAATATGGGAGAAATGAAGTCCATTTGAGGAAGAAATAAACAATAACCTGAAGAAATAAAAAAAATTTAACTATTAAAAAGCAAGATTATACAAATATATACTGCAGGCATGTAGTATCATTTGTATCAGTCAGAAAAATTATTTTACACTTAATTGAAAAAATGTTGACCCTACTCCCCAATACTCCCTGTCTGTTATAAGATAGGAATTATAATTTTAGGCATCAAGCAAATTTTCGAACAATGTCTACACATATTAAAAAATGAAGACATATTGAAAGACTTTTAAAGAATTGATTTTTAAAAATATATTTTGATCAACATCACAAAATTTATATAACTGGCCCAAACTGGCAGATGATGAAATAAGCAATTAAATGTTCTACTTTCCTATTTGTAAGCATTATGTGTCCAGTTGGAAGGAGCCTATTAGGATAGCACAGAAAAGAATGTACAAATGTTAATAACTGATTTATCAAAAGAAAAATTTTATTTCCATCTCCTTCGGGACTTTTTTATTCTCATGTTCATAACTAAACCTAAACATAAAAAAAAATGCTGGCCTTATAATGAAGAAAGAGGCCTCTTTCAAAATAGATAATTTCAGGGCTGCTGGGTCAGGGGTACCAGGGGGGTACTTTGACTAAAAATAAATGCTTTGAAATCTGCCCTTTGATAAGCAATGGTGCCTTTTTCAAAATTTGTGATTTTCATGGCTTATGGATTAAAACACGAACCAAATACAATCCCTGGAAAGTTGTTACATGATACTCAGGTTACCTATAAGGCCCGTGGGCCTCTTGTTTGTTAATTTAGATTTCTCATACAATATATGCACTACAGCACATTTCAAGAATTTCTCAAAATACAATCTATTTCTTAAAGATCTTAACAGTGGTTTCAGTAGCATATTTAATTAATTTAATGTTCCCAAGAAAAGAAAATTACTTACAATTGTTTCAATACAACATAAGTCATAAAATTAGGAATAAACTTTAAAAAACAAAATGATATATAATCATCTTTTTTATTAAGGTGTTGAAATAGAAATATCAAAAGTAATATTTTGCTTCGAATCAACGTTTTTCATTCAATAAAATAGTGCAATTAACAAATTAACAAACAAACCTTTTTTTCAGTTTTTGTGCTGAAAGTCTAACCATCTATGTAACAAAAAGACATTTACAATAAATAAACTATATATATCAAAATATACTAAAATCTTCATTTCAAAGCTATTTTGACCTATTTTTATGAAATTGAAAGATTAAGAGCGCTGAAAGACTATTGTATTGGCGTATTTGACGAGCTAAAAAAAAATTTAAACATTTTGCTAGTGATTGTCAATGAAATTCAAAACACGATATACTCCCAGGGCAGGTTAGATTGTACATATAAAGTATGGGTAATTTCAATATATGAGTGAAGAGTTAAACCTTTATTTCTACTTTATCCATCTCAGACATACATCTGTAAGTAATTTAATTTTTTGAAGGTGGATCCAACACTGGTGTATCATCTTTATCTATGGACGTTACCATCATGTATAAACTGTTGAGGAATTTCTCGGACATTGCTCCCCCTGGGAATGGATGGGGAAAAGAACCTAGAATAGTGGACATCACAGAGAGTGACGACATAGAAAGAATCCGTTTGTATAGAAATAAATACAGTCATACTTCAGAAAGTAGTACCGTAATGAGTGATGGTGTCTTTCACATAATCTGGGATGATCTTTCTAAGGTATGAAACCACTATACATCGAGGACTATTTTGCTTAATTCCAATAGTAGGTAAAATTGAATGAGACAATTCTGATTTTAGTTGTGAATTATTTTGACTGTAAATGTTTATTTGTTCTTGTTAGACAGGTCATTCATTAGCGATAAGAGCTTATGTAAAACATCATGGGACCATTTTTATATCTAGCAATGAAATAATGTTTAAGCATACATCAGAAGAAATTAGCTAGCGCAAATCAATATATTCAGTAAAAACAAAAACAAACCTCAAGGGGGCTAACATTTTTTTATTAATCCTGTCTTTTGAGCATACATCACTCATTAGAAAATAACGCAAAACAGATTATACAAAAGAAAAATGAATAAATTTCAAGGGGGCAAAAAATTATATCTGCTTAAAACAATCCTTTCTGTATTTACATGTATGTATATTTGCAAAATGCAACTATTTCCTCATTTATGCCATTTTGTTTCTTTTAGCTCACCTGGCCGAAGGCAAAAGTGAGCTTTTCTGATCACATTTTGTTCTTCGTCCGTCTTTCTGTCCGTCTGTAAACTTTCACATTTCGACTTCTTCTCAAGAACCAATGGGCCAATTTTAACCAAACTTAATATAGAAAGCATTCCTGGGTAAAGGGGAGTTTAAATTGTTAAAATTAAGGATCAAGGGGGGATAATCAAGAAAAGACAAAAATAGGGGTGTGTCACTAAAAAATCTTCTCAAGAATCACTGGGCCAGGAAAGCTGAAACTTATTTGGAAGTATCCATTGGTAGTGTAGATATTAAATTGTTAAAATAATCACCCCCAGTGCAGGGTGGGTCCACAATAAAGAATTCCAAGTTTTACTAGAAATATATAGAACAAACCTTTAAAAAATCATCTTCACAAGAACCACTGGGCCAGGAAGTTTTTGGAAGCATCCTTGGGTAGTGTAGAAATTAAATTGTGAGAATCATGACCCTCTAGTGTAGGGCGGGGCGACAATAGGGAATTTCATGTTTTACATAGAAATATATAAAACAAATTTTTAAAAATCTTCTCAAGCTCCACTGGGGCCAAGAAAGCTGAAACTTATGTGGAAGCATCCTGGGGTAGTGTAAATTCTAAAGTTTTAAAATCATAAAAGGGAACGGGGTAGTGGGCATGATAGGTGTAGCAAGAGGGTGAATCTGGTAAATGAACTGCAACAATCCAGTTACTCAAGTGTGCGATGTGGCCTCTGGGCCTGTTGTTCTGTTCAGCTTCAAAAAGTAGTTTCACAATAAAAGAAACTTTTTAAAAATAAATCACGTCGTTTAACGTCTTTGTTTATTTAATTTAAAAAAGTTTCTTATTTATATTTGTTGTCAACAAACCAATTTTATTCTTTTTTATATGATTTTTCTCATTTCTTTTCAGGCCATTCTAAGACTCAGTGGTGGTGTTTTGAAGAGAAGGATTATGGAAATATAACTGAGTGGATATTAAGATTTGACAACATAAACTTGACAACAATAATCATTTCAATCAGAAAAAAGATGTTTCATGATGGTATTAAGTCACATTTATTGTAAAAATTGTGCAATATTTTATAGTGCTGAATATTTTGACAAACAACATATTTATTTTCCAATGACAACATAATGTGAAATACCCTTCCTGGATAATAGTTTGAGATTGAATTTACAATTTCTTACTATGAAGTGGTATTTCAAATATTACTTATCCTATCCCTGGATTTTATTATCTATATCTTTATTTTTATTGACAATATATCTAAAGGATTGGACACAGTTCCAAACACTTAGATATTCCTCTCCCATCAATCTATATCTTTATGTATTGTAATAAATTTTTCTTTGGCCTGGTTAAAAATTTTGATTTATCTTTTTTCGATAAAAGATCAAAATTATGATAGTAAAGTATATTTTTGGATTTTTGAAGATGTTTACTTGTATATTACAAATAATGATGAAATAATATGTCTCTAAATGAATGTGATGAATGTGAATGTCCGCACAGCAGCCATTAGGTACGTCATCGGAGTCTTTCAGATGACCTTCCATTCTGTTTTTTTTTTGTTCCGTTATCATCCGTTAGCATCTGAACATTGCCAGCCACTTCTCTGGAAGCACAGAACCTATTTTATTGATTTTGGATCTCTGAGTGAAGGTAAGCAAAAACCGACAACTTTATTGTCAATGGGGAAAAAGCCATCAAAATACATTGAAAGTTTGTGATAAATATTTACCAGAAAATTTCTTTTAAAAAATTATTTCAAATCTTTATAACGCTGACTTGTGGAGCGAGTATGATTTTAAGCAGAAGGAAAAACAAAATAAAATGGCAAATAACAGTTGTTCTGATTTCAATATACTCATATACACCCCCCCCCCCCCCCCCCCCAGTTCGCATACACAGATTAATGAAATTTAAAATTATTTTAAGAACAATATTTAAATATGAATCAAGACACGAAAAAAAGAATATAAAGAATATAAATTGTCGCATATCTGCGGTGATTTTCTTTGATCTTTCTGTGGTGATATATCACATATGCGATAATACTTTCCACGCCCCTTCAGGTCATAAGAAAAAAAACGATTTTCGTTCACAAGTTCATAACCACAGATATATGAACATGTTTTACTATTTCTTAGCCATTAACTGAATTAAAATACAGGTCTTTAACTCGGTTGAAAGTTTACAGTCGTTCAAACCATGAATCCATTTTGAAAGTTACAGTAAATTCTCCAAACATTACATCCTTAAACTCCTTGATATTTGCTTAAGAATCAGTTACATAATTGTTGAGTGCCTTGATCAAAGATAAATTGTCAAAATCTTCAAAGTAAAATTCACTAAGAACGTCCGACATGTTGGAGAGCTAGCTTAAAATGAATCTTTTTTTTCGTCATTGAACTCTCAATGAAATTTACGTCATCAGACATGGGACAAGTTGCTTACATCATAGATGCCTCGTACTATTGGTTATATCCGCGCCCTCGATTTCCACGCCCCATGAAAACGATATAATCAATACTACTTGGCTTCTATGAAATACGTAACCTATACAAAGATCATAACTGTAAACTCTCAGATTATGTTAGATTTTAATGATGAAGCCTGATGATTTTTATTTAAATTTCTATGAGTTGTCCTCCCCATCCTGTATTTGAATTGCTTTTATAAGCCTGCTGCAGCTATTTAAGGTCACCCGATATTGCTATCTGTTTTCGTCCTGCATCGTGCGTCGTACGGTGTGCACTGTGAATTAATATTTGAAACATTTGAAATTTTTCAGCTTCTTCTTTGTAACCGCTCAACCATTTTAAACCAATTTTAATACATGAGGCCCATGGGCCACATCGCTCATCTGAGCAATACGGTGAGGAAAAGGTAGAAAATCGTTTTGTTTTTGTAAAGTTTAAATCCAAAAGTAGTCCCATGACCAATCAGGTATATGCTATCTTTTAGAAATTGATTTTAAAAGAATTTTCCTATATATATCATTGAAAACTTTGGTTGGCCATTTTGGCCCCACCTCTGGAGGTCATGATTTTAACAAATTTACACAACATGAGCATGCTTCCACATAAATATGATGAATTATAGCTTTGTCATTCTTGAGAAGAAGATGTTTAGAGAATTTTCATATATATTTCGTATATTTCGATGTAAAACTTTGGTTGGCCATTTTGCCCCCCCCCCCCCCTTCCCCCGGGGCTTATGATTTGAACAAACCTGAATCTGCACTACCTGAGCATGCTTCCATATAAATTGATGAATTATGGCTTTGTCATTCTTCAGAAGATTTTTACAGAATTTCCCTATATATTTCTATGTAAAACTTATGTGTAAAACTTTTGCCATTCTGGCCCCGCCCTTCCCCCGGGGGTCATGATTTGAAGAAACTAGAATCCACATTACCTGATGATGTTTTTCCATAAGTTTCATCTTTCTTGGCACAGCGGTTCTTGAGAAGAAGTTTTTTGAAATATGCCACGTAATTTTCATCTATTTCCAATTATCTCCCCTTGAATGAGGGCGTGGCCCTTCATTTGAACAGACTTGAAACCCCTTCACCCAAAGTGGCTGTAAATTGGCCCAGCGGTTCCTGAGAAGAAGTTGAAAATGTGAAAAGTTTACAGACAGACAGACAGACAGACAGACAGCTAGACGGACAGACGGACGCCGGACAAAATGTGATCAGGAAAGCTCACTTGAGCTTTCAGCTCAGGTGAGCTAATAAAGCATCTATCGGTGAAGGGGAACAAAAATCGTAAATTTCATGGTCCCTGCCCTCCTGGGGCCTGAGGGTAAGGGCCAAAACCACCTAAATAAATGCAATCTGTAAAAACCTTTACTTGTGGACATCAAGCAGTTAAGCTGTTGGCATGATTGTAATGAGCAAGAGTTCCTCTTCCAAAATTATAATGCCTCCAGGGTCAGAGGTTCTAGTGCTAGGGCGAGGCTAAATAGAATATATAGAAAACATAATTTTTTTTTTTTTTGAAATCTTTTTCTCTGCTCCTGGATATTACAAAAACTAACACTAACAAGGTACATGGTTATGATGAGCAAGAAAGCCTCTTCCAAAATTGTGAATTTTATAGCCCCAGATCATGGGTTCTGGTGCTAGGGCGGGTCTCCAGAGTTGCGCTTTCTTGTGTTAGGGTGGAGTCTATTGATTTTACAGTGAAAATGTAATAATTCTTTGAAAATCTTCTTCTCTACTGCTGGGCACGACAAATTAAAATCCAGGCTATTTGATATCATTGACAGCTGCTTCTTCAACAAAAATGGAACTCGTAAGTTTACTTACCTCGTCATTGGTCATTTGAAAAATTATTTTGTTAAAACAGATTCTGATTGCACACACAAGTACTCTGAAGTTGACATCAAGAAGATGCTTGAGTTTCTGATTGACAATATCTATGTGGTTTTTGGAGACCAGGTATTCCAACAATCTATTGGAATTCCCATGGGTACAAATTGCGCTCCGTTATTAGCAGACTTATTTTTATATTCATATGAAGCAGAATTTATGCAAAATCTTTTGCGTGAAAAGAAAAAAACACTTGCTGTGGCCTTCAACTCGACATTTAGATATATCGACGACGTATTGTCAATTAATAATGATAATTTCCATTCCTACGTCGACACGATATATCCTGGTGAGCTTGAGATAAAAGATACCACAGAGTCCGACACTTCTGCTTCATACTTGGATATTTTACTTGAAAAAGACACAAATGGTAATCTAACAACCAAGCTATATGATAAACGTGATGACTTTAACTTTCCTATCGTCAACTTCCCTTACTTATGCAGCAATATACCTTCATCACCTGCATACGGAGTATTTATATCTCAGTTGATTCGATACGCAAGAGCATGCTCTACGTATGAACAATTTCTTAAAAGAGGTAAATTATTGACAAGCAAGTTGATGAAACAAGAATATCAACAGTCTCGTTTAAAGTCATCATTTCGTAAATTCTATGGTCGATACAATGACCTTGTCAGCAAATACAATTTATCATTGAATGAAATGCTGACTGACGTTTTTCATACCAATTGTTAGTCCATTATTTATACACTGAATTGACCACGGATTTTTTCAGTTATTTCCTGATTATGACAACGAGCACAAGGCGGGTGTGACCGGTCGGCAGGGGATGCTCACTCCTCCATGGCACCTGATCCCACCTTCTGGCAACATCTTCTGGCATCATTGCCGCAATATTGCAGCAACAATCTGGCAATACATTGCAGCATTATTGCGTTTTTCGTATGTAAATTAGATTTGCAGAAATATTGCCAGAAAAGTGCTAAGGCAATATTGTAGTAACATTCTGGCAATATTGCAGCAATATTGCGCCAATATCGTTTTTCGTATGTAAATTAGATTTGCGGTAATATTGCCAGAAAAGTGTTGCGGCAATATCGTTTTTCGTATGTAAATTAGATAAGCAGCAATATTGCCAAAAAGGTGTTGCGGCAATGTTGCTGCAAAGCAATTGCAGAACATGTATTATTTCAGGTTTGCTGCAGCAATATTGGGACAACACTGCAATACTACCTATATATAAATTGGTATCTAATAGAAATAATGATCTATCAATCTAACAATTAACAAACTGTGCTGAGGAACATAAAAATCAAGAGCAAAATAATTTAAGCTACAAAGTCAGTAAGAAATAGCTACTTAAGCTTATGCTATTCTTTGATAAGATAGAAAAACTTTGTTGAAAAAAAGATTTGTTTTTGACACACTCTATGCACCCAATGACAACAAAGTTTGAAAAACCAATTTTAGCATATAGGTCACAGTCAAAGTCACAAGGTCATTGATCTTGGTGTCATTTGAAAGAACTTAATTAGTAAGATATGCATACTAAATATAAAGTCTGTATCTCTTATGGTTCAAAATTTATGGTGGAGGTTTATAAAGGCTATTTTTAGCATAAAGATCACAGAAAAAGGTAACAAGGTCATTGACCTTGGTGTCATTTGAGAGAGCAAATATGAGGTCGCCATCTTTCATGGTTCAAAAGTTATGTCAAAGGTTCAAAAAATCTATTTTAAGCATATGGGTCACAGCCAAGGTTACAAGGTCAAAGACGTTGGTGTCATTTTGAAGACCTTAATTAGTTGAGTATGCATACTAAATATATAGTCTCTATTTCTCATGGTTCTTAAATTTTGGCGAATATTCAATTAAAAAAACTATTCTTAGCATAGAGTTCATAGTAAAGGTCACCAGGTCATTGACCTTGGTGTCATTTGAAAGGACTTAATAAGTAATAATAATAATAATAATAATGCT